CCCTCATCGGTCCCCCCTCGCAACACCTTCAGGGGATGCTGCGCGGAACTGGCGTCGGCACCTTTGATGCCCGTGGCGAGCCGCGACCCTACACACACGAGAAATTCCTGGAGACCTACCCTCATCAACGCGGTTTGACGAAGAAACTCACCGTGGAGCAAGAGGAAGAATTGGCGCGCCGCAAAGCTGAGGAGCTTTGCTAGCAAAGTCTCCCAGAAGCACGCGGGACCTTCGCTTGCGCCGCCTGGGGAGGTGAAGCGGCAGAAAATGCCTCCAATGAAGGAGGATGGGGGAGCGCTGGCGGATGGGGAACAAGCGACACTAGCGGCTGGGGAGACAGCGGCGGCACCTGGGCCAACGCGGGCGGCGGATGGGGCGCCGCAACTGGCGCCGACAATAGCGTCTGGGGTACTCTCCGCGAAGAACAAAGGGGGGGAGAAGATGAAGCTGAGGAAACTCAGGCAACACCCGCAATCGTTCCTCTCGGTCGTCCCCCACGCCACGTTCCACTCGCACTACCTCCTCCTGACAACCCCCCGCGCCGCGATCCATGGGACACTATCATCTGGGGCAACGAACCGTCAACACCACGTCGCACCACCTACGGACCCGCCCCTGAGCACCGCGAACCCACCTTCGTCCCTGGAACCATCCCTGGGACCAACATCCCGCTCTCCGAAATTCGGGACAGAGAATTTTTGGCGCTGATGCTGACTACCGCGGCAGAAGAAGAAGAAGCAGAGGAAGCAGCAACAGAACCCACCCCTGCACGTGACGAAGACCCTGAGGAAGCACGCACGCGCTACATGCGCACCTCCGGCTTTCGCGCTGACGACGCACTCTGGCACCAGCGCCTCGGACACCCTTCCCGCGCGACGCTGAAAAACTGCATCGACGCAGGCGTCTTCGCTCCTGGCGCACTCCTACGCCCCGACGGCTCCGAAGTAGGCGGCGCGACACATCCGCGCAACTGCACCGTCTGCCCTGAAGCTGCGCTGAGCCACCAACCGTTCCCGCTACTCGAACCTGGAACGAATCGTTACCCCAAGCTGCACAAAGTGTACAGCGATTTCTTGAACGTGGGGCATTGCGGAGTCGAAGACGAAATGTACACACTTACCTTCATCGATGCCGGAACGCGCTACGTGTGGGTCATGAATGTGGAGTCGCGCGACAGAGCGTACGAAGTATTTCGGCTTTGGCTGGCGCATGCGGAGAGGCAATCTGGGAAGAAACTCAAGATTTGGCGATCTGACGGCGCGGCAGAATTCAGGAGCAACCAGATGCAGACCTTCCTGACACAGAAGGGGATCGAGCACCATATTTCTCTCCCCTACGCGCACCAACAGCAGAGCGAAGCCGAGCGGACCAACCGCACAATGATGACGAAGATGCGCGCGCTGATGAAGCAGTCAAAATTGCCGCCGATCTACTGGACCTACACGATGCACCACACCGTGCGGGTGCACAACCTGCTCTCAACCACCGCAATCACCGGCAACCAGTCCCCGCACGTCAATTGGAGTGAAACCAAAGGGGATACCTCCATGCTCCGGGTATGGGGGTGCATGGTTCAATACCGCCCGCCTACCTCAACCATCGGCAAGTTCGCCAGCCGCGCACGCTGGGGAATCCACCTCGGCGTCAGTCACGAGCACAAGGCGTGGATCGTGCTAGACCTCCTCAGTCAGAAAACCACTCACGCTCGCGACATCATCTTCTACGAGCGTCTCTTCCTCGACCAGTTCCGCCGCGACGAGCAGACGAATGTAAATCGGGTCTACGCCAACAACGGCCACAGCTACGCAACACCTGAAGACGAAGCCGTTGCAGCAATCTTGGAGCAGGACACAAGGGGGGAATTCGCGTGGGAAAACCGGCGCAGCGACGACGACGACGACGATGATTCCTCAGGAGGAGGAATAGGCGGAACAGGCGGAAGCAAAACAGGCGAAAGCGGCAGAGGCGCAACACCGCCAGCACCTGAACCGGAGAGCGATGACGATGATGTGCAGGAGGTCATCCCGCAACGTCGCCACGACAGCACCATCTCAGGGCTGCAGCTGCTCGGGCTTCACATCGCAACCTCGAAGGCACCACGCATCATCGAGCCTCGAAACCCGCGCGAAGCACTCTTTGGACCACACAGCAAGGAGTGGCGTGAGGCGATGGACGCGGAAATCAAGGCACTGGAGTCGCGCGATACCTGGGTGCTCGTCGACCGCGCAGCGATCAAGGGCGCAAGAATCCTGTCGGGGAAATGGGTCTTCCGCGTAAAAACCGCAGGGGATGGGACGATCGAGCGCTTCAAGGCGCGTTGGGTGGTTTGCGGCTATGACCAGAGGCATGGGATTGACTTCGACCAGACGTTCGCCCCAGTCAGTCGCCACACCTCCGTCCGCATCCTGCTCGCCATCGCAGCTGCAAGGCACCTGCCACTACGTCAGATAGACGTGAAGAACGCGTTCCTGTATGCGTTAGTAGACGCCGTGATCTACGTGGAGCAGCCACACACCTACGGCGAAGGAGACTCGCGCGTATGTTAGCTGCGCAAGTCACTCTACGGCATCAAGCAGGCTCCGAGGCTGTGGCAGCAGTACCTGCACAACATCCTGCTTGAAATCGGGTTCAAGCAAATGCCACACGATCCAGGGATGTACCGCCGCGACTTCCGCGGCGAATACATCCTCCTCACTGTGTACGTCGACGAACTGCTTTACACAGGTTCAAACAACGAGCTCCTCCATCTGTTCGAGAAGGCTCTGGCGGGGCGCGTCGACATCACATGCAACTACGAGGTGAAGCAGTTCCTAGGCCTCAACATCACCTACGCGCCTGAAGCCATTCACCTTTCAGCGGCTAAGTGCGCAGAGGAGTTAGGGAAGCGGTTCAACATTTCACCTGCACCTCTCTCAACTCCCTACCGAACCCCCGGACCGAACCACAAACTCGACAACAAAGCCCTATCCCCTACTGGGATCCAGACTTACCAGCAGCAGTTGGGATGCCTCCTCTTCGCCTCTGTCACCTGCAGGCTAGACCTCTCGTACATCGCAAGTCAGCTGGCGCAGTACTCACGCAAACCAACGGCTGAAAACCTTCTGGACCTGCAGCGCGCCCTCCAATACTTCGTTTCAACGCCCAAGATTGGACTGCGTTACTCAACTGCACCAACCCCATCCTTCAATCTCATCGGCTATGTGGACGCCGATCACGCAGCAGATCTCGATAATCGACGGTCCAGGACTGGGTTCCTGTTCCGACTCGAGCCTATGGGACCAATCTCCTGGAACTCACAGAAGCAGGAGTTGGTTGCCCTGTCATCAGCCGAAGCGGAATTCATCGCAGCAACCGCAGCAGTTCGCGAAGGCCTCTACCTGCAGGAACTCCTGCAAGAAGCGAAAATTCCAGCTTCGCCCACATTTCGCCTTCACTGCGACAACCAGAGCGCGATCCGCATCGCAAACAAGCCCGGTTTTGTTAACCGCACCAAGCACATTGCGCTGCGGTACTTCTTCGTGAAGGACGAAGTGGACAAAGGCAAGGTCAACTTGACCTACTGCCCAACAGGTGACATGGCAGCAGACTTCCTCACAAAGCGACTGCCACGCCAGCAGTATCAGCACTGCTCCGAACTCAGCGGTGTAGTCAAGCAGGTCAATTCGAGCCACGGCCAGGAGTGAAGGGGGGTGTTACGAATAGTAATATTTGATATTACTAAGCACTCCTAAACGCAGCAAAAGGAACACGCGATACCGGGAATGAACGCGAAGCGTCAGACGCTTGGAACTGAATCGAAGCGTCGAATGGTTACAGGACATCTGGACCGTCAGAGGAGACAGCACCGGGCAGCTGCAGGCAGGATGGTTTTGGCGGGAACAGTTACGAAACTGTACGAGCCGCACAGTTAAGAATATATATGAATAAGGGAATGTACCCCTTAGAGTACATGGCTAGCTAGGTCGTTTCGTCTTCCCTGTAATCATATTAATATTTCCTGTACCTGCATGTTTTAATCATCTCAAGCATTTTACATTCACTCCGCCATTTGAGATCAAGGACCCACCAACACTACCTCTCCTCAAGCGAACCTTCCTGAGCAGATCCTGGGCTACGATCAACTTCTGATCGCAACACGTTCGCCCTAAATCTCATAAAGGCGGATGTCAAATATTTCTTAACAGCGGGAAGGAGCTTGCTAACAACCCATCTGCAAACCTACAGCAGGGGGTGGGGGAAGAGGGGTGGGGGAGGGGAGGAGGGGGCCCGTAGGGCAAAACATCGTCAACAAAGAAGTCGTTTGAATTCTTGTGTACATTCGCAAAGCACTTCCGAGGAGGTTCGTTCTCATGTAGTACTATAAGTGTGAACCGATGGGGCTGAGTCCCTCTTCGCCATGTAAGGGTGTCAGTGTCTCGAGTGCAGCGTGAGTACTTAAGTACTGTGAGGAGTGAAGACTGTCTAAGAAATATTTTGCAACCACAGCCATAAACATCAACACTAGAAAGTCCTATCATACCAAACTAGATAGAATGTGGGAGCTTCAGGGATAATGAGTACGGGAGGAGAAGAGTGGCAACTTAGGAAAACGCAGGATTGCTTGTACTGCTGATTCGGGATTTCAGGGAAGGGCCCCAAACCAGCCCCAACTATGCTGGTTGATACTATTAGAATGGACTAAGATACTAGCGGAAGCTTTAGTAGTCTTAGAACCTCCTCACAAAGCCTAGGAATCCTAGGAGCCCACTTGGGCATGAACCATGCTAGAACCAAAGTGGTTTCCAAAAGTGAAATACCAACAAGAGAGAACCCTAACCTATAGGGTTTGGGAGGTGGTCCACTCTAAAGAGTGTACACCACAAGTTCTCCCAACCCCACCAATGTATTCTACACTACCATAGTGTAGATGTACCACTACATATGTTTATTGGAGCAACCCAAATTCACCTTAATTCCAACACCCCCCCTTGCTCCAATAAGCATTAAAGTTCACCCATAAATCAAAATACAACCCCTCCAGCGAATGAAGCCTTGGCCTTCGCAGCAATCACTCGCATGCCGATGCGCTCCAGGTTCTCATGCAGCTGCAAGCTTGGAAGAGCTTTGGTGAGCATGTCGGCATCCTGGAGGTGGGAGCGTACTGAGTGCACCTCGACCTCCTGCTGGCGCACCGCATCCCGTACAAAGTGCCATGCCACCTTAATGTGCTTGGTGCGCTGATGGAGAACGGGATTGTGGGCAAGGGAAACAGCTGCCTCATTATCACAGAGCAATGGAATAGCCCCCCCATCCCCCACATGCATCTCTGCCAACAGACTCCTCAACCAAATGGCCTCCTTGGCCCCCTCCGATAGAGCTTTGTACTCAGCTTCAGAAACGCTTGCTGCAACACTGTCTTGCTTTTTGCTATACCAGCTGATTGCTCCTCCTCCCAGCTTAAAGATGTAGGCAGAGCGACTCTTGCCATCAGTCTCACCACCCCAATCCGAGTCTGTGTACCCGACAACCTGCTCACCACCTTGGCGCTCATACCTGATGACACGATCAGCTGTGTCGACCAAGTACCTGAGTGCTCTCAGTGCAGCGCGCATGTGAATGCGTCTTGGTGCCACGCAGGACTGTGCAAGGGTATTGACAGTGAAAGACATGTCAGGACGGGTGGTCACAGCAGCATACATCAAGCTGCCAATGAGACTCTGGTACACCTTGACATCAGCTGCAACACCTTCCTCAGTTGACCAAGTACCATTCCTGATCTTAAAGAGATCATTGGGTGACATTGGAGTATGCACCCTATGGGTCTCCTTCAGCAGATCACCAAACCTTCCCTGGAGACCACGGACATACTTCTCCTGACCAATCTCCAACCACCCATCCTTGACCGACCTGCGAACCTCCACACCAAGGTACATGGATACCTCACCTAGATCCTTCATCTGGTACCTCTGAGCAAGCACCTCCTTGACCTGACCGATCAGCTCCAAGCGTGGAGACACAAGCAAGAGGTCATCCACATACACCAATACATACACTGGCTCTTCATCCAAAAACCTGATGTACAGAGCCTCATCACATGCACTGCGGTCAAACCCTGCTGCAATCAAGGTGGTACCAATCTCCTCATTCCAAGCACGAGGCGCTTGCTTGAGCCCATAGAGAGCTTTGCGCAAGCGATGCACCCTACCTGTACCATCATCAAATCCCTCATGTTGCCTCACATACACTTCCTCTTGAAGGAGTGCATTGAGGTAAGCATGATCAACATCCTCCTGTTGTACATGCCACCCTTTTACCGCGGCTTCTGCAAGAAGCACCCGACCTGAGGTCAGCTTGCCCACAGGGGCAAATACCTGATCATAGTCCTTCTCAGGCTCCTGAGTGTACCCCTTAGCAACAAGGCGAACCTTGTGCTGTACCACCTTATCCTCCTTGTCAGTTTTCCTGCGGAAAACGTACCGGACCCCAATGGCCTTCTTACCTGGAGGTAAGTCAACCGGCTCTGGATCCCATACACCCATAGTGCGCATTGCATTTACCTCCTTCTCAGCGCCTGCCTTCCACGCAGGGCCCTCAGGGCCACGCAGGGCCTCAGCGAGTGTGCGTGGGACATCACCTGTGCTCACACCTGCCAGTGCAACACCTTCCACCTCCCTGGCCAAACATAGCATGCCCTCAACCACACCAGCATCCCCCCCTACCTCCTCACCACCTGTACCAGACTGGATACCAAGCACCTGCAAACCCGTAACCAGTGGTGGGGAGGTAGTCGCTGGTGATGGAGGGGCACCCGTAGAGAGAGGGATAGAGCGCTGACCAGAGGAGGAGGAAGAGGAAGTAGCCTGTGTAGCGGATCTCCGCTGAATGACCGAGGGGCCACTGAGCTGCTGCAGAGGGGTGGGCTGCTGCTGCACCGACACACTCAGCGGTGCCGGTGGCAGTGGTGAAAGTGGCATCTCAACGTCGTCAGCCGTTGGTGAAGATGGCGAGAGTGGAAGAGGGAGGAGTTGGGAAATTGCAGCTGCATCCTGCAGAAGCTCCCCAAATTCCTTTGCCTTGTCCCAATCCTTCCACATCACATTCTCAAGGAAATCAACATCCCGAGCAATGCGAATGCGCATGATAGAAGGGTCCAGCATGCGCCAACCCTTGCTCTCCATGTCCACCCCAACACAGACACACATGACAGCCCGTGCATCAAGCTTGCCACCCTTCTCATGCCCATGCAACATGACACTCCCCATGCAACCCCAAATCCGAGCCATGCCCACATGCGGCTTCTGGCCGGACCACGCCTCCATTGGTGTGATGGAGGCAGGCAAAGCACTGTGGGTGACCCTGTTCTTAACCCACACGACCCACATCAATGCTTCACCCCACAAGCGAGCAGGGAGACCACTGTCGACCAACAATGTGCGAATCCCCTCTGCCATCGTCCTGTGCCACCTCTCCACAACCCCATTCTGTTGCAGTGTATCTGCGACGCTCAATTGAGTTTTAATGCCAAACTCCGCCTTCCATGCTTTTACAGCTTTCCCCAAGAACTCGCCACCCCTGTCCGAGCGAACAGCCTTCATCTTCCGCCCACACTCCAACTCCACGTCCTTATGCCACTGGCGAAGGACTTTTGCAACTATGGCCGATTCCTTGTTGGGGAGGGGGAACGACCAAACTCGTCTGGTGAAGTCGTCAATGAGACTGAGGACATACACCGCTCCTCCCAGTGATGGTGTGCGCACCGACCCCCACAAATCCATGTGGACCTCATCCAAAGGCCCAAGTGCCCGAGACGCCTCATGGGGAAACGACTTCCGAGCCGACTTTCCCAATAAGCAGGGCTCACATGGGGAACAATCAGTGTCCCCCCCCCCAATCTCCAAGCCCAGTACACTGTTCCCCCGAGCCATCTGTTGCAATGTTGTGGGGGCGGTATGACCAAGGCGGCGATGGGCAAGGGTCAATGGGGAAAATGAGGAGGACGACTTAGCTGCAAGAGCACTGCCCTGTGTGCCCTGAGCAAGAGGAAGAAACATCCGCACCAATCCATGGTCCCTTCCCCTCTCCTTTTCTCCAATCGCCAACACCCGCTCCCCCCGTTGAAGGACACATCTCTTGCCTTTGAATGTGACAATGACATCTCGAGAGGTGAGGTGTGGGACTGACAGCAGACGCGTGTGCATCTCAGGCACAAGGTGGACCTTTTGAATCCTCAGCAGCTGACCTCCAGCACCAACCACTGGCACCTCACCCATGCCAACAGCTTTCACCACCCGTCCATCTCCCAATCTAACTCCCCGAACCTCTGGTGGTTGAAGCTTACTTTTGAAGTCCGATGCATAAGGAGTAAAGTTGTGGCTGGCCCCACTGTCAATCCACCACCCCTCTCGCGGCTGCTCCTCTCCCACTGCTGCAACTGCTTCTCCAACCACTGCCTCTGCCTTGTCATCCTGCTCCTCCTCATCCGCCACCTGTGCCTTGCCGTTGGACCCACGACCCCCCCGCTTTAAGAATGCCGGAATGCCTCCCTTAGGTCGATGAGGACATCGTTGCCATGCATGTCCCTCATCCCAACAGCCATGACACAACCCCCGAGGAGCCATGCCCTTGGACCCCCAAGGGAAATCAAGCACTCCCGCTTTGCCTTTCCCTTGACCCCATCTGCCCGAGTTGGTGTCACTGCTGCTACCGCTGTCTCCATGCTTTCCTCCCTTGACCCAATTTCCCCTGCCGCTGCTGCCCACTTTCGTACCCGCTCCAAATGTGGCTACACCATCCGATCTTGGTGCGACACCAATGCGCATCTCCTCGCTCCTCAAGGAGGTAAGCAGCTGATCCTTAGTGAGCGATGATGACTGGTTGTTCAACACCACCTTCAGCATCTCAAAGTGAGGAGGTAGTCCTTTGAGTACCCTCATCATCCACTCCTCAACCTCCTCCTTTCCTCCTGCAGCCAAGTACTTGGACCTCAAGTCCTCGGCACGCGCCCAGTATGCAGCCACCCCCTCCCCCTCTTTCATCTTCAATGAAGAGAGCTCCTCAGAGAGTGCCATCCGGTTACACAATCCACGCTCAAGGTAGAACTCCTTCACTCGTATGTATGCCGCTGCTGTGCCTGCAGGAATTCGGGTGACCGCTCTTGCTCCGCCATCAACAGGTGCGCTGCCCAACTCGGTCTTGCCGCCGAACTCCCGTACCAAGCGAATTAGCTCATCTGGCACCAAGGCATTGCAGAATTGAGCGAATGCCTTCCGATTTTTTCTCTCCCACTTCAGCCGTGCGTCACCCGATGCAGGCCGCTCCTCCGAACCATCAAAGTACCCCCATAGATCGTGTGCCTCTGCCCATTGTTCGAATCGGAAGCTCCAAGTCCAATAGTCGCTCCCATCGAACTTTGGCGCACTCTCCAGCTTCCCTTCACCTGAGTCATGATCCATTTGCGGCAGACACTCTGGAGATTGACGTTGAGGTGGTGGTGGAGGCAACGGCGGCGGTGGTGGAGGCAACGGCGGCGGTGGTGGAGACGATGTGGACAGATTTGCCCCCTCTTGGTTTTTGGAGCGTAACTCCGCGCTCGAACCTGCGAATGATGAGCCGTTTGTCTCAAATGAATCTTTGCTCCAAGACCGTTCCGATGATGTATTGCGCACTTGGATCCCGCTTCCAAGCTGGCCGCTTAAACTCGTCGAAGTTGGCCGATTTCCCGTCGACGAAGACTCAATCGTTTCTCCCGATTTTTGGCTTGTTGGATGCGCCCTGGCCTCCTCTATCGGCGTCTGTTCTTCAATCTTTTTTCCGCGCTTTAAATCTTCCCCGATTCGCGATTTTCCAATTTGTCCGCCGGCAGTTTTTCGCGAATTGGGTCCGATCCCATCGTCGATTTGTAACAACTCTGGGGCAATTGTTGTAGAGCGTGCTGAGACCTTTCCAACGGTATGCTGCACGTCTTGATCGGCCAAAGTTGACTGAGCGCCTCCGTGGATGGATGCCGCTCTTCTCGTCCTCCCAAACGGATCCACACGATTTCCAGCAGTTTTCTTCTCTCCTCCTCCCCTCCCACGTCCAGAGTCCGCCACGGTGCAATTTCGGCAGCCCTTCGGGAGGAATGGAAGCTAACTAGCTTCCACCAAGATCTTATGGTCCAATGTCTTGAGTAACTCCTATTCCAACAGATTGCTAGGCCTTCCTTGCTCTGATACCATATTAGAATGGACTAAGATACTAGCGGAAGCTTTAGTAGTCTTAGAACCTCCTCACAAAGCCTAGGAATCCTAGGAGCCCACTTGGGCATGAACCATGCTAGAACCAAAGTGGTTTCCAAAAGTGAAATACCAAGAAGACAGAACCCTAACCTATAGGGTTTGGGAGGTGGTCCATTCTAAAGAGTGTACACCACAAGTTCTCCCAACCCAACCAATGTATTCTACACTACTATAGTGTAGATGTACCACTACATATGTTTATTGGAGCAACCCGAATTAACTTTAATTCCAACAGCAAGCAGGCAATGCTGTCTACTGTCATGTTGCTGTGCTGTCCTATGTACCATGCATGACATAAGCAAGAGTGGGAGAGGAGTGGGGGAGAATGGTGCGCTCCTTATGTAGGGGATGTTTTCCTCTGTGCAGAGAGGTTTGGTGGATAACTCTGGGTTGAAAATAGTGAGTTTTATGTGTTTTCAACATACATAGCAGGCCCCTAGATTCGTTTTGAGGTAGTCTGACGCCTCAGAGTACACCCCTCTTCCTTGGCTGGCTGTCAGAATTACTTTTTTTTTTTGTCTGAAAATTCTGACAAGCACAACTGTTTTTGTCTGAAGTGTCAGAATTACTTCAAATTTTAAGATGCTCATGCAGTTTCATAACAGCATAGTTAGGGCGTGTTCCTACGGCCTCTTATCAGTTGAACCTCTTGTCAGGTTCGTGTCGCACCGCACTGAAACGCGCATAATAACATTCGATCGCATTGAATCACATTGAACCGCACAAGTCTGACAAGAGGTCGCCTGATAAGGGGCTGTAGGAACACGCCCTAATTATAGCATTGAAGCTGATTACAGCATAGCAACGCAATTGTGCGGCCAGAAATGGGGCACTCTGATTGGTCATTCTTCAAGAGTTAGGGCGGGTCAAACTTTGCACGTTTTCGCAGAAAACCCCACTCAACCATCTCGTGTTTAAATAAGACCACTCTGGATCAAGCCTAAACCTCTTTGAACCGCAATCGGACGTACTCTTTCGACCCGCCCTTAGGAACACTAAGTAGTCAGGGTCGAGGTGTGGGCAGGGCTGACAATTCAAGGGCATTTGCCCTTAATGCCCCGAACATTCCAGGCGAACTCCAGACCAGCTTCGGCATTTCGAAGGGCTGGTTTCGAGGGGAGCCCGTTTTTCTTACGGGCTGATTTTGAGAAATTGGGGTATCTGTTGGAATTAAGGTTAATTCGGGTTGCTCCAATAAACATATGTAGTGGTACATCTACACTATGGTAGTGTAGAATACATTGGTTGGGTTGGGAGAACTTGTGGTGTACACTCTTTAGAGTGGACCACCTCCCAAACCCTGTAGGTTAGGGTTCTCTCTTGTTGGTATTTCACTTTTGGAAACCACTTTGGTTCTAGCATGGTTCATGCCCAAGTGGGCTCCTAGGATTCCTAGGCTTTGTGAGGAGGTTCTAAGACTACTAAAGCTTCCGCTAGTATCTTAGTCCATTCTAATATGGTATCAGAGCAAGGAAGGCCTAGCAATCTGTTGGAATAGGAGTTACTCAAGACATTGGACCATAAGATCTTGGTGGAAGCTAGTTAGCTTCCATTCCTCCCGAAGGGCTGCCGAAATTGCACCGTGGCGGACTCTGGACGTGGGAGGGGAGGAGGAGAGAAGAAAACTGCTGGAAATCGTGTGGATCCGTTTGGGAGGACGAGAAGAGCGACATCCATCCACGGAGGCGCTCAGTCAACTTTGGCCGATCAAGACGTGCAGCATACCGTTGGAAAGGTCTCAGCACGCTCTACAACAATTGCCCCAGAGTTGTTACAAATCGACGATGGGATCGGACCCAATTCGCGAAAAACTGCCGGCGGACAAATTGGAAAATCGCGAATCGGGGAAGATTTAAAGCGCGGAAAAAAGATTGAAAAACAGACGCCGATAGAGGAGGCCAGGGCGCATCCAACAAGCCAAAAATCGGGAGAAACGATTGAGTCTTCGTCGACGGGAAATCGGCCAACTTCGACGAGTTTAAGCGGCCAGCTTGGAAGCGGGATCCAAGAGCGCAATACATCATCGGAACGGTCTTGGAGCAAAGATTCATTTGAGACAAACGGCTCATCATTCGCAGGTTCGAGCGCGGAGTTACGCTCCAAAAACCAAGAGGGGGCAAATCTGTCCACATCGTCTCCACCACCGCCGCCGTTGCCTCCACCACCGCCGCCGTTGCCTCCACCACCACCTCAACGTCAATCTCCAGAGTGTCTGCCGCAAATGGATCATGACTCAGGTGAAGGGAAGCTGGAGAGTGCGCCAAAGTTCGATGGGAGCGACTATTGGACTTGGAGCTTCCGATTCGAACAATGGGCAGAGGCACACGATCTATGGGGGTACTTTGATGGTTCGGAGGAGCGGCCTGCATCGGGTGACGCACGGCTGAAGTGGGAGAGAAAAAATCGGAAGGCATTCGCTCAATTCTGCAATGCCTTGGTGCCAGATGAGCTAATTCGCTTGGTACGGGAGTTCGGCGGCAAGACCGAGTTGGGCAGCGCACCTGTTGATGGCGGAGCAAGAGCGGTCACCCGAATTCCTGCAGGCACAGCAGCGGCATACATACGAGTGAAGGAGTTCTACCTTGAGCGTGGATTGTGTAACCGGATGGCACTCTCTGAGGAGCTCTCTTCATTGAAGATGAAAGAGGGGGAGGGGGTGGCTGCATACTGGGCGCGTGCCGAGGACTTGAGGTCCAAGTACTTGGCTGCAGGAGGAAAGGAGGAGGTTGAGGAGTGGATGATGAGGGTACTCAAAGGACTACCTCCTCACTTTGAGATGCTGAAGGTGGTGTTGAACAACCAGTCATCATCGCTCACTAAGGATCAGCTGCTTACCTCCTTGAGGAGCGAGGAGATGCGCATTGGTGTCGCACCAAGATCGGATGGTGTAGCCACATTTGGAGCGGGTACGAAAGTGGGCAGCAGCGGCAGGGGAAATTGGGTCAAGGGAGGAAAGCATGGAGACAGCGGTAGCAGCAGTGACACCAACTCGGGCAGATGGGGTCAAGGGAAAGGCAAAGCGGGAGTGCTTGATTTCCCTTGGGGGTCCAAGGGCATGGCTCCTCGGGGGTTGTGTCATGGCTGTTGGGATGAGGGACATGCATGGCAACGATGTCCTCATCGACCTAAGGGAGGCATTCCGGCATTCTTAAAGCGGGGGGGTCGTGGGTCCAACGGCAAGGCACAGGTGGCGGATGAGGAGGAGCAGGATGACAAGGCAGAGGCAGTGGTTGGAGAAGCAGTTGCAGCAGTGGGAGAGGAGCAGCCGCGAGAGGGGTGGTGGATTGACAGTGGGGCCAGCCACAACTTTACTCCTTATGCATCGGACTTCAAAAGTAAGCTTCAACCACCAGAGGTTCGGGGAGTTAGATTGGGAGATGGACGGGTGGTGAAAGCTGTTGGCATGGGTGAGGTGCCAGTGGTTGGTGCTGGAGGTCAGCTGCTGAGGATTCAAAAGGTCCACCTTGTGCCTGAGATGCACACGCGTCTGCTGTCAGTCCCACACCTCACCTCTCGAGATGTCATTGTCACATTCAAAGGCAAGAGATGTGTCCTTCAACGGGGGGAGCGGGTGTTGGCGATTGGAGAAAAGGAGAGGGGAAGGGACCATGGATTGGTGCGGATGTTTCTTCCTCTTGCTCAGGGCACACAGGGCAGTGCTCTTGCAGCTAAGTCGTCCTCCTCATTTTCCCCATTGACCCTTGCCCATCGCCGCCTTGGTCATACCGCCCCCACAACATTGCAACAGATGGCTCGGGGGAACAGTGTACTGGGCTTGGAGATTGGGGGGGGGGACACTGATTGTTCCCCATGTGAGCCCTGCTTATTGGGAAAGTCGGCTCGGAAGTCGTTTCCCCATGAGGCGTCTCGGGCACTTGGGCCTTTGGATGAGGTCCACATGGATTTGTGGGGGTCGGTGCGCACACCATCACTGGGAGGAGCGGTGTATGTCCTCAGTCTCATTGACGACTTCACCAGACGAGTTTGGTCGTTCCCCCTCCCCAACAAGGAATCGGCCATAGTTGCAAAAGTCCTTCGCCAGTGGCATAAGGACGTGGAGTTGGAGTGTGGGCGGAAGATGAAGGCTGTTCGCTCGGACAGGGGTGGCGAGTTCTTGGGGAAAGCTGTAAAAGCATGGAAGGCGGAGTTTGGCATTAAAACTCAATTGAGCGTCGCAGATACACTGCAACAGAATGGGGTTGTGGAGAGGTGGCACAGGACGATGGCAGAGGGGATTCGCACATTGTTGGTCGACAGTGGTCTCCCTGCTCGCTTGTGGGGTGAAGCATTGATGTGGGTCGTGTGGGTTAAGAACAGGGTCACCCACAGTGCTTTGCCTGCCTCCATCACACCAATGGAGGCGTGGTCCGGCCAGAAGCCGCATGTGGGCATGGCTCGGATTTGGGGTTGCATGGGGAGTGTCATGTTGCATGGGCATGAGAAGGGTGGCAAGCTTGATGCACGGGCTGTCATGTGTGTCTGTGTTGGGGTGGACATGGAGAGCAAGGGTTGGCGCATGCTGGACCCTTCTATCATGCGCATTCGCATTGCTCGGGATGTTGATTTCCTTGAGAATGTGATGTGGAAGGATTGGGACAAGGCAAAGGAATTTGGGGAGCTTCTGCAGGATGCAGCTGCAATTTCCCAACTCCTCCCTCTTCCACTCTCGCCATCTTCACCAACGGCTGACGACGTTGAGATGCCACTTTCACCACTGCCACCGGCACCGCTGAGTGTGTCGGTGCAGCAGCAGCCCACCCCTCTGCAGCAGCTCAGTGGCCCCTCGGTCATTCAGCGGAGATCCGCTACACAGGCTACTTCCTCTTCCTCCTCCTCTGGTCAGCGCTCTATCCCTCTCTCTACGGGTGCCTCTCCGTCACCAGCGACTACCTCCCCACCACCGGTTACGGGTTTGCAGGTGCTTGGTATCCAGTCTGGTACAGGTGGTGAGGAGGTAGGGGGGGATGCTGGTGTGGTTGAGGGCATGCTATGTTTGGCCAGGGAGGTGGAAGGTGTTGCACTGGCAGGTGTGAGCACAGGTGATGTCCCACGCACACTCGCTGAGGCCCTGCGTGGCCCTGAGGGCCCTGCGTGGAAGGCAGACGCTGAGAAGGAGGTAAATGCAATGCGCACTATGGGTGTATGGGATCCAGAGCCGGTTGACTTACCTCCAGGTAAGAAGGCCATTGGGGTCCGGTACGTTTTCCGCAGGAAAACTGACAAGGAGGATAAGGTGGTACAGCACAAGGTTCGCCTTGTTGCTAAGGGGTACACTCAGGAGCCTGAGAAGGATTATGATCAGGTATTTGCCCCTGTGGGCAAGCTGACCTCAGGTCGGGTGCTTCTTGCAGAAGCCGCGGTAAAAGGGTGGCATGTACAACAGGAGGATGTTGATCATGCTTACCTCAATGCACTCCTTCAAGAGGAAGTGTATGTGAGGCAACATGAGGGATTTGATGATGGTACAGGTAGGGTGCATCGCTTGCGCAAAGCTCTCTATGGGCTCAAGCAAGCGCCTCGTGCTTGGAATGAGGAGATTGGTACCACCTTGATTGCAGCAGGGTTTGACCGCAGTGCATGTGATGAGGCTCTGTACATCAGGTTTGTGGATGAAGAGCCAGTGTATGTATTGGTGTATGTGGATGACCTCTTGCTTGTGTCTCCACGCTTGGAGCTGATCGGTCAGGTCAAGGAGGTGCTTGCTCAGAGGTACCAGATGAAGGATCTAGGTGAGGTATCCATGTACCTTGGTGTGGAGGTTCGCAGGTCGGTCAAGGATGGGTGGTTGGAGATTGGTCAGGAGAAGTATGTCCGTGGTCTCCAGGGAAGGTTTGGTGATCTGCTGAAGGAGACCCATAGGGTGCATACTCCAATGTCACCCAATGATCTCTTTAAGATCAGGAATGGTACTTGGTCAACTGAGGAAGGTGTTGCAGCTGATGTCAAGGTGTACCAGAGTCTCATTGGCAGCTTGATGTATGCTGCTGTGACCACCCGTCGTGACATGTCTTTCACTGTCAATACCCTTGCACAGTCCTGCGTGGCACCAAGACGCATTCACATGCGCGCTGCACTGAGAGCACTCAGGTACTTGGTCGACACAGCTGATCGTGTCATCAGGTATGAGCGCCAAGGTGGTGAGCAGGTTGTCGGGTACACAGACTCGGATTGGGGTGGTGAGACTGATGGCAAGAGTCGCTCTGCCTACATCTTTAAGCTGGGAGGAGGAGCAATCAGCTGGTATAGCAAAAAGCAAGACAGTGTTGCAGCAAGCGTTTCTGAAGCTGAGTACAAAGCTCTATCGGAGGGGGGCAAGGAGGCCATTTGGTTGAGGAGTCTGTTGGCAGAGATGCATGTGGGGGATGGGGGGGCTATTCCATTGCTCTGTGATAATGAGGCAGCTGTCTCCCTTGCCCACAATCCCGTTCTCCATCAGCGCACCAAGGAGGGCCTATGTTTGGTTTTTGGCTACTCACGATTAGCAGTGTAGCATTTTTGAAAACCCTTATGATCAGTGTGTAATTTTTCGTTACACTGATACATAAGTGTAACATTGATTTTCAAAAAAATTACCCCAGAGCATCAGTGTAGAATTTTTGTGTACACTTATCGCGAATTTAGATTACTAATTGTTATAAAGATCGGGAAACAATATTGACGAGATGCGAAACTGCTTGACCCACTCTGCTGAGCTTGCTGAACCAACACGGCACAGCAGTAGGTCGCTTCGTTGGGTGACGCGGCTTGCATCTGTGCCACCGACAGTATGAATGTGGTCAGGGATTTGACTAAGTGCAGGCAACATCTCGAAACATAACAAACTGACCAATTACACAGATGACTGCTGCCAACGCATATTCTGCGGGGAAGGCCGCTTCGGTACTTGCGTGATTGATGGAAATCACGCTCGTGCAAAATTTCGGGAATGAAAAGGGGGGGGGGGGGGGGGGGGGGGGGGGGGGGGGTGCCCTGTACGCCCTTAAGGGTAATCTTCGTTTTCAAAAAATTTACCCCAGACCATCTGTGTGGCCTAAATCGTTTCACTGTCAAATCAGTGTAACACTAAGTTTCAAAAAAAATACCCAAACACATCAGTGTAGGCCCTAAAATTCACCCTTCTCATCAGTATAGCAGTGTGATTTACACTGATAAAATAGGCCCTGGCACCAAGCACATTAAGGTGGCATGGCACTTTGTACGGGATGCGGTGCGCCAGCAGGAGGTCGAGGTGCACTCAGTACGCTCCCACCTCCAGGATGCCGACATGCTCACCAAAGCTCTTCCAAGCTTGCAGCTGCATGAGAACCTGGAGCGCATCGGCATGCGAGTGATTGCTGCGAAGGCCAAGGCTTCATTCGCTGGAGGGGTTGTATTTTGATTTATGGATGAACTTTAATGCTTATTGGAGCAAAGGGGGGTGTTGGAATTAAGGTTAATTCGGGTTGCTCCAATAAACATATGTAGTGGTACATCTACACTATGGTAGTGTAGAATACATTGGTTGGATTGGGAGAACTTGTGGTGTACACTCTTTAGAGTGGACCACCTCCCAAACCCTATAGGTTAGGGTTCTCTCTTGTTGGTATTTCACTTTTGGAAACCACTTTGGTTCTAGCATGGTTCATGCCCAAGTGGGCTCCTAGGATTCCTAGGCTTTAGGAGGAGGTTCTAAGACTACTAAAGCTTCCGCTAGTATCTTAGTCCATTCTAATACTTGCCAGCATGTATGCATGGCACTGGCAGTGTAGGTCGCTATTGTGCATGCGCGTGCATGCGTGTGTGCGTGTGTGAGTGGGTCAGTGCTCGGCAGCGGAGAAGAAGATGACAAGGAAGTAGACGGCAAAGCCCGCCAGCAGGATGGAGCCGTACAGCAGAGCGCCCGCCGTGCGCGAGGGGAAGCGGTGCTCTATGCGGCAGCACCGCATCGCCTCGTGCGCGTGCGATAGCTCCTCCTCCACGTAGCTGGGATGGGGTGGAGGTGGGATGGGTTGAGTTGAAGATCAAGAGGGAGTGGGGGAGCACAGGGGGTGAACAAGGAGAGAGGTGCTCTATACAGCAGCACCGCATGGCCTTCAGCGCATGGGGTAGCTCCACCTCCACGTAGCTAGAATGGGGGAACAAGGGTGGTTGGGTGTTGATAGCCCACTTCAACTCTCCCCTCCCTAATCTCTCTCCACTCCCTCACTCTCATCTCCCCAAGCTAAAAAACTGTAAGAGAGGCAAGAGGTAAAATGGCATCAACTGGGACTACAAGCGCAAGCGGTGACATGGCGGCAGCACAGCACAGCACATGGTGTGAATAAATAAAGAGCACGCCTGGATGTTTGTCATGCACGGCTGACTAGGCTGCGCTAGCCTGAGGCCGCAAAGAGTGGAATGGGGCTCTCAGGCAGTGGGAAGGAGGGGGACTGAAGATGTACGATGCGGCTTAGAGAGTGGACGGAGGTTCATTCACACAGGGCAGGGTGATTGAGGGAAAGGGGCGTACTGGTGGAAGCCGTGGGTGAAGTGCAAGAGGGAGCGCGAGAGGTGGTGTGCGTCCGCCAGCTCGTGCTCGTACAGGTGCGAGCTCAGCTTCGATAGATGCTCCTCCGCCTCCTGGTGAGGTGAAAAACGGACATGGTCAGCAAGGGAAAAGACATGAAGGGAATGAATACGGGTGGGATGAAGGGAGGGGGTAGTAAGGTGGTGCACGTCGACCAGCTCGTGCTCATACAGGTCAAACGAGAGGGGTCCCTTCTCAGATGCGAGTCGGTACACAAAAGAAGGGGGTACCTTCTCAGGTTCCTCAACACCTGAAGAGCACAACATCAATTTCTTAAGCCCTAGCTGCCCCATGTAGACCAAAGCTACCCACTCATGATTACCTTGAGGCTGTGTGTGAGTCGCTCCACGACAGAGTGCGGTATGGGCAGCGAGGACCGCGCAGGGTCTGAATAGATCGACTCCAGTGCCTTGAGCACCGCCTTGAGACTGCTGGCCGTGCTGTTGGTGCTGCCGTGTGCGTCCGAGTGCGTGGGGTGGTGCACCTCGTTGCCCAGCGCCGCGAACAGGTACGTGTTGGAGAAGTCCTCTATAGCCTGGGGTGGCAGGGACGAGATGAGGGAGAGGCAGCAGTGGGGGACATGTGTGCGAGTAGAAAATGGAAAAGATTAGGAGCTGAGGAGCAAAGAGGTATGTGTTGGAAAAGTCCTCTATGGCCTGTGGCGGCAGGGACGGGATGAGGGAGAGGCAGCAGTGGAATGAGAGAGCTGTGCATGGTGTGAGAGAGCCGTGCATGGTGTGAGACAGTCGTGCATGGTGTGAGAGAGCCGTGCATGGTGTGAGACAGCCGTGCATGGTGTGAGAGAGCCGTGCATGGTGTGAGAGAGCCGTGCATGGTGTGGGAGAGCCGTGCATGGTGTGAGAGAGCCGTGCATGGTGTGGGAGAGCCGTGCATGGTGTGAGAGAGCCGTGCATGGTGTGAGAGAGCCGTGCATGGTGTGAGAGAGCCGTGCATGGTGTGAGAGAGCCGTGCATGGTGTGAGAGAGCCGTGCATGGTGTGAGAGAGCCGTGCATGGTGTGAGAGAGCCGTGCATGGTGTGAGACAGCCGTGCATGGTGTGAGAGAGCCGTGCATGGTGTGAGACAGCCGTGCATGGTGTGAGGAGCCGTGCATGGTGTGAGACAGCCGTGCATGGTGTGAGACAGCCGTGCATGGTGTGAGAGAGCCGTGCATGGTGTGAGAGAGCCGTGCATGGTGTGAGAGAGCCGTGCATGGTGTGAGAGAGCCGTGCATGGTGTGGGAGAGCCGTGCATGGTGTGAGAGAGCCGTGCATGGTGTGAGACAGCCATGCATGGTGTGAGACAGCCGTGCATGGTGTGAGAGAGCCGTGCATGGTGTGGGAGAGCCGTGCATGGTGTGAGAGAGCCATGCATGGTGTGAGAGAGCCGTGCATGGTGTGAGAGAGCCGTGCATGGTGTGAGAGAGCCGTGCATGGTGTGAGACAGCCGTGCATGGTGTGAGAGAGCCGTGCATGGTGTGAGAGAGCCGTGCATGGTGTGAGAGAGCCGTGCATGGTGTGAGAGAGCCGTGCATGGTGTGAGACAGCCGTGCATGGTGTGAGAGAGCCGTGCATGGTGTGAGAGAGCCATGCATGGTGTGAGAGAGCCCTCACTCCCTAGGCACCCCCTCACTTTTCGGATCACCATTGTCCCCCCCTCCCCCCTTTCCCCTCAACGTCCCCTCCCTCTCTCCCCCTCTCCCTGAGGCACCTGGAAACAGCAGTGCAGTGCTCCCCCCTCCCCACTTCCCCCCTCCTCCCCTACCCCCTCCCCACTCCCACATGCCCCCTCCCCCCCTCCCCCCTCCCCTATCCCCCCTCCCCATTCCCCCATCCCCCTTCCCCCCTCCCCCCTCCCCCCTCCCCCATCACCCCTCCCCAGCGCGCTCAGCAGGTGGTGGGCTGGGCCCCTAACCCTACCACCTGAAAGCAACAGCCCCCTGCCCTGCCCCTGCCTGCCACCTTGATGAACCAGTGTCCCTGCCCCTCCCCCCTCCACCCACCTTCGCTGTCCCCCTCTCCCCCCTCTCTCCACCCCCCTCCCACCCTCCCCCTCCCCACCACACCTGGATGCAGTGGTGCAGGGAGCGAAGGGAGATGTCAACGCGGGAGTACACGGCGTTCATGAGGATGCTGTCCTTGAGCAGCGCGCTCAGAGACGACGTGTTGGACACCGGGCCGAACGGGTGGTGCCCCACCGCCCACACCCAGCTGCGCCGCATGCACCGCTGCCTGTGCACCTGGTGCCATGCAGGGTGGGCAGGTGTGTGTGGGCGTGTGTGGGTGTGTGTGGGCGTGTGTGGGGGTGTGTGGGCGTGTGTGGGGGTGTGTGGGCGTGTGTGGGGGTGTGTGGGCGTGTGTGGGGGTGTGTGGGCGTGTGTGGGGGTGTGTGGGCGTGTGTGGGGGTGTGTGGGCGTGTGTGGGTGTGTGTGGGCGTGTGTGGGGGTGTGTGGGTGTGTGTGGGTGTGTGTGGGTGTGTGTGGGCGTGTCGAGAATGTTCATATAAACATGCATGCATGCAAATGTGCACCACACGGAAACACACACACAAACCATACATGCACACATGCGCATGTACCGGCAATACATGCACACGGCGATCATGTACAGGCAGGCATGGAGGGGGGAAAAGACGATTCACACTCGCATGCACGCCCAAGCGTGGCACAGGCACGATGGACCATGGCCCCATGAGAGAAGAGGGAGACAGGCATTGCATGACAACAAGAGTGATGTGGGCCAGAGATGTGAAACCAATAATGCAGCCATATAGACCAAGCAGCAGCAGGTACAGGCAGTGGTAGCAGTGCTAGCTGGGAGCATATGCAGCAATGGTAGCAACAGGTTGGCAGGAGTAGGGGGAAGGGAGGGGGAGGAAAGGGAGGAGAGGGGCAGCAGCAGCGGCGGTGGCGGCAGCAGCAGCGGCACCGGCAGCAGTGCGGCAGCGGCAGCAGCAGCATGCGTTACATTGAGGTCTTCATAGGGTGCCACGAGTCCTCCCAGCGATGCTGCTACGCCTGCTGTGAGTGGGCGCTGCAGGTGCTGTGGTGACACAAACACTGGCTGGCCCTCTGACACAAACCTGGTGCGCACGACAGAGGAGAGGTGAGAGGGATAGAGAAGGGGGGGGGGGGGGAGAGTGAGATTGGTAAGGAGAGGAAAGATGTTGCGAACACGAATCTGATGCGAGCGGACCGGAGGGAGAGCGATGGGGGAAGAGGGACCAGGGAGAGTGATGGGAGAGAGGGACTGGGAGATGGATGGGGGGAGGAGAAGGAGAGAAGACAAAACTGGTGCGAGGAGTGTGAGACCGAGAGAGGGCACGAGACGATACTGTTGATAGGAGAGGTTGGTCACCAGGGTGAGACGAGTGTTGAGAGGGATGATGAGGGGAATGGTGAGAGGGTCGATGAGGTGGATAATAGATGAATGAAGAATCGAAGCGAGGAGTGGTTGGTGACACTGGCATGCCATGAGACCCTTCCACCCACACTATATATACATGCATGCACCCTCACACTGAACCCACCATGCAACTCTACGCTTGGGAACAAACCATACACTCACTCAAGCTCCAGCCCAGCCACCGCTCACCACAACGCATCACCAGCCACCCACCGTGTGCGCGCGGTGCTGTTCTCGGGTGTCTGCAGCACTGGCACGGCATTCGACACTGCACACACTTGCTGCCCTTATGAGTCGTCTCAAATGCGACACAATATCCAACCCAACCATCGCATCGCACTGCACCGCACCACTCATACCACCTACCGTGTGCACACAGTGTTGTTCTCTGCTGTCTACAGCACCAGCACAGCATCTGGTGCCGCATACACCTGTTGCCCTCAGCAGTCGCTTCAAAAGCGACCCAATATCCAACCCAACCACTGCACCGCACTTAACTGCACTGCACCACAATGCACCACACAACTCATACCACCTACCGTGTGCGTACGGTGTTGTTCTCTGCTGTCTGCAGCACGAGCACGGCATCCGGTGCTGCATACACCTGCTGCCCTGCGCCCTGCCCCTCCTCATCCGCCATTGTCAGCTGCCCCTCTATGCCCGCTAGTGACAGCACAAAGCTGTGTGGGAGAGATATGCAAGGGGAAGGGGCAGGGAAAGGGGAGGGGGGGGGGGGCAGGATGGATTTTGTTGGCTTCAGCATAACTCTGGCATGGCGGGTTGCCCCTCTATTCCCACCAACGACAACGCAAAGGCGAGGGGGAGAGACGGCGCAAGGGGAGAGAAGCATGGGGAGGGGGTGTTCTGGCACCATCAGCTGTTCCTATATGCCCGTCTGCGACAGCACACAGCTGAGTGAGAAAAAGGAGGGGGAGGCACGGGTAAGGGGACACATGTAAGTAAGGGCAGTCGCAAGGGGGAGTTCGGGTTGGCACAATGGCACTCACATGGGCACCACTCACTCCGCACAGCACCACCACCACAGAACCACCACACCACCACAGTCCACTACCACAGCAGCACTCACACAGGGAGCACGCGTGTGCCGTGCTCCCTCGCCAGCTCTGCATCCACGGCGCGGCGGGCGGTGCTCTTGGTGCGCTCCTTCAGCCCCACGTGCGCATCCCACGACCGCTTCACCGGCAGAATGGTGCGGCGCGGCGGGGCCTTGGAGGGGGAAGGGGGCGACGTGCGCACCACACTGTCCTCCTCGCTCGCACTGGCTGCCTCGTCCGCCGCCTCCACTGCTGCTGCCTGGTTGTTGGGGGGGAAGGGGGAGGGAAGGAGGGAGGGTAGGAGGAGAGGGTGGGGGGGGGAGAGTATGGGGGGATTGAGGGGGGAGGACGGGGAAATTGAGCTTATGTAGTGATCTTGGAAGGGGACGGCGGTGACGTGGGCACCACACTGTCCTCCTCGCTGGCACTTGCAGCCTCGTCCGCCGCCTCCACTGCTGCTGCCTGGTTGTTGGGGGGGAAGGGAGTGCGTGGGGTGGGTGGGTTGGACGGGGTGGAAGGAAGAGGGGGTGGGAGGAAGTGTGTAGGGAGGGGGGCGTGAAAGTTGGCTCGCGTGTCTCACAAGGCGTGGACGGAGGAGGTAGAGGCGGGAACAGAACAGAACCAAAGGACTGTGCAAACAGCAAGAATAAGGAAGGGGCGCGGGCAGAATAGGGCAACAGGAAGGGAGAGCAGGGTGCAGGGTACGAACCGGGTCTTCAAGGAAGAGCGAGGCGGAGAGAGCAGGGTGCGCTGCCTCTAGCAGCGCAGACGCGAGCATGTCAGCCGACTCGTGGAATTGCTGTGCGGGGGGGGGAAGGACGAGGAATTGGAAGGAAGGAATGAGGGAGGAGGGGAGGAGAGGTTGAGCTGAGCTGAGCCTAGCAGAGAGGATGCAAGCATGGCAGTGGACTTGCGGAGTAAAGTGAAAGAACGAGGGAAGGAACAGGGTTGGGAAGACGAGACGAGCAGGGGCATGGATGAAGAGAGCGGAGTTGGGAGGGGGAGGGAATAGGGGCCGTTGGAAAACAGGGGGATGAAAATGCAAGGGATTGGAGGAGAGAGCAGCAGACACTGAGAGAAGGGAGAGTGGAAAGGGGAGAGGCCACGCTCCGTATGCGGAAGATTGACGAGTGCGGGAGGGAGGAGAGGGAGGTGAGGGAGGTGAGGGAGGGGGAAGGAGCGGCTCACGTGCAGCAGGTAGGGAGCATCAAGGAAGCTCCTGGTGCCGTGCGAGGTGGAGCCATCGGTGTGGGTGAGCAGTACGGACTGGTGGCGGATGGACTTCTCTACCGCCATGGCCAGCCGCTCGTGGTCGTGCAGCGAGTGCCACCCGTTCACCAGCACCACCTCCTGCCCCGGGGCCAGCATGCCTGTGATCTGGGAGGAAGGAGGGGGAGGTGTTGGGTGAGAGGAGGGAAGGAGGGAGGAAAGGAGTGATTCAAGGCTTGCTACCCCTTCACGAGCACCACCTCCTACCCCGAGGTCAGCATGCCCGTGATCTGCGAAGATGAAGGAGGGGCGCAATCGGGAGAGGAGGATGAAGAGGAGGAGAGGAGGGAAGAACTGGGGAGGTTAATTTATCTCTCTTCTTTATTGTTAGATGAGATACACTGACTGACACGGGCAACTGAGGCTGGGGAGGGTGTGAGTAGGAGAGGAATCTACAGAGAGTATTGGTAACAACTCACACGCTCGCACCTCTGGCCACGTGGCTCGCATCGCACCTGTGCTTCGAGCTGGTGCAGGTTGATGGAATGGGCATGGCCCGGTGCGAGGGGGTTGAAGTGGCGGTGGTTGGACAGCACTATCACCGCCACCAGCACCCTGTGACTCACGTCTACGTTCAAAAATCTGTTAAGGGAAGTGTGGAAAAAAAGGGGGGGGGGGGGGGGTGGTTGGTTGGAGGAGGAGGGGGGAGGTGCGGGAAAAGAAGGGGAGGTTGTTGGAGAAGGACGGGTCTGTTTCTAGCGAGCGGATGGTCGGACGGAGGGAGGGAAGGGCGGAGGGACAGAGGGACGGAGGGACAGACAGAAAAGAGGTGGAGGCAGCGGGTGAGCAACGAACCGGACGTCGGGTGAGAAGAGGTGCTCCACAGCGGACGACACGACATCCGCCAGAGCACCCGAGAAGAACTCCTTGCTCTGCGGCTTCCCTGCCCCGTGCAGCGCCGCCGCCGCTGCTGCCGCTGCAGCCGCAGCCGCAGCGGCACCAGCATTGCCAGCAGCGGCGGTGGCAGCGGATGAGGTGGAGGAGGAGGAGAGAGTGGGTTGGTCAGGAAGGAACATGGAGCGCACGCGGGGGATGGTGCCAGGCACCACTGCACCCTCTGCCTCGCCCAGATGGCCGAATGTGACTGGGCCGGCCGAGAGGTCTATCACCACGTATCTGCGGCGTGGGGAGGGTAAGGGGAAGGGAGAGGGGAGAGTTGAGGACGAAGGAGAGGGGAAGGAAGACTTGTGGGAGCAGGGAGGGGTGATGGGAGGCAAGGCTTGGGGTGCGGGCAGAGGGAGAGGATGGGTTGGGTACAGCACAGGGCGGGGGATGATGGACTGGAGATTGGGATAAGGTAGAGGAGGGTCTGATATGAGAGTGCCGCGCAAGGATGGGTGGTTGGTGTGTGTGGTGGTGGTGACGATGATGAAACGAGAGGATGGAGACAGAAAGGGACTGGATTGAAGGATGCATGGGTGTCAGGTTGCAAGGGGCTGAATTCAACCCGTGGATTAGATATCCCATGCCAGAATTTTGTTCCCCTTTCACGGAACCTTCACATCAGAGCTCCGCCCTGGTGTGCTGAGTGGCAAGCAGACAGACAGTCATGCCTCAAGTGAACGGATCCATCCAATCCCATCCACTAAGGATAGCCCGCCGCATCCCATGCATTGCATCGCATCGCACGAGAGTGGCATGCATACGCATTCACGATTCGCCCTCCTGCCTGCGCTGCGCCTCTTTGAAGAAAGTAGACCGCAAAACAAGCCGCCGCTCTAAGGCAGGCAGCACAATGCTCCTCTCTCCCACGTAACCATTTCGTATCATATCTGTGTGTGCCCTGGCCACGACCTGCGTCACTGTACGAGTCTGCATGTAATTGTGCATACCAACATGCACTCGATTCCAGTACCCGACCCCCCACTCTCCTTGTTCCCTGACCAGCTCAAGCCCCACCCCACCTGCCATAGGACAGCCAGCCACGCCTGAGCGTGCGCTGTCATACAGGTATGCATAAGAGCACGGGCCTGTCCCCATAACCTCCCTCGTTCCCTGCCCAAGTCAAGCCCCACTCACCTGGCGTGTGAGAGCCACGTCTGTGCGTTCCCTGCCCTGCCCTGCCCTGCCCTGCCCTGCCCTGCCCTGCCCTGCCCTGCCCTGCCCTGCCCTGCCCTGCCCTGCCCTGCCCTGCCCTGCCCTGCCCTGCCCTGCCCTGCCCTGCCCTGCCCTGCCCTGCACCGTGGCAGGAGTATGCATACGACGCGACGCCCTCCTGCTCCTCTCAAGCTGACTGACACTGACTGGAAAACCACACACTACAATACAATACAGTACCTCTTCCAAGGCAGCTCAACGCTCACATGGCATGGGAGAGCCACGTCTGTGTGTGCCCTGCGCCATGGTACGAGTATGCATACTACGAGTAAGTACTCGCCCTCCTGCTCCTCTCAAGCTGACACAGACTGAAACCACACACAATACAATACAGTACCCCTTCGAAGGCAGCTCAAGGGCTTACCTGGCGTGGGAGAGCCACGTCTGTGCGTGCCCTGCGCCATGGTACGAGTATGCATACGAGTACCCGCCCTCCTGCTCCTCCACCTGCTGCTCACTCAGGGCCGATGTGGCGGGGCCTGAGGGCGGTGGGCGTGACGGGTCCATGCGCGTCTGGGGTGCGAGGAGTGGGCCAGTGTGGTGGACGGGTGGATGTGGGTGGAGACGGACAGGGGAGGGGAGAAGGAGGGAGAAGGGGATGAGGGAGGGGGAAGGGCGGAAGTGGAGTGTGGAGGGAGGGGAGGGAGAAGCTTTGTGGTAGGACGAGGGGAATGAAGGGTGGTACACGTGCACCTTACAACTGGTGGTGCCTCTAGCTGCAGCTCAGACAGCCCGATGTGGCGGGGCGCCAGGGCCTGGCCTGAGGGCGGTGGTGGGTGGGAGTGAGTCGTGACGGAGACAGGAAGAACGGAGTTGATAGCAGCAGAATCAGGACCGTTGCAATGCAACTGGTGCCTCCTTCCTCCTTCGCCTTTGCGTACATCACATCACACACACACACACACACACACACACACACACACACACACACACACACACACACTCGTACCACACAGGTGCACACATCCCCCTTCCGCACCCCCACCCCCACCTCCACAGTCCATCCCCATATACACGCCGTGTGCCTACAAACCTTGTCCAGGTTACACAGGAAGACGGCAATCGCCTTGTGCGGCTGGTTCTCCCCCGCGCTCCCCCCCTCCTCCCCCTCGCCCTCAGCAGGCTGCTCAAAGAGCTCCAAGTACATGCGGTCGAACGTGGGCTCTATGCTCGTGGCCTCCACCGTGTACACCTGCGGTTAATGAATGAACACAGAGGGATGGTGATGGAGGAACAAGGCGGACGTGCTTTTTGAGGCACCTAAGGGATACAACGTGGGTTCTATGCTCGCTGCTTCCACTGTGTACACCTGGGGTGGGGGCATGAACACACAACGGGGTGGTGGCAGAGGCAGAAAGCGAAGCTGATTCTCCAGGCACGAGGGCCCTATGCTCGTTGCTTCCTCCACTGTGTACACCTGCGGTGGGGAGTGTGATGAATGCGCACAGAGGGATGGTGGCAGAGGAAACAGGCGGGCGTGATTTTTGAGGCACACAAGCGTGGGTGGGAAGAGCTCTATGCTTATTGCCTCCACTGTCTACCTACACCTGGGGAGTATGATGAATGCGCACAGAGAAATGGTTTTTAGACTGTCTCAAAATGACCACAGAGGGATGGTGCCAGATGCACGGTGTGGATGATATTCTTTACCACGCTTGACATGCCCGCTCCCTGCTCCCTCCCTGCTCACACGCCCGCTCAAGGACTCACAAATAAAGAATCACCTATGCCTAACCCCTCAACTTGACGAACGTACCGTGGTGTTGCTGCCAGCAGCAGCAGCAGCAGAGCCGGGCGCAGGCTTCAAATTGGAGCGAACGGCTTTCTCTAGCGACACTAGGTTCTCCTCTGATGCCTGTGGCATGTGGCGTTCGTTGAGGCCGGGAGGGAGGGAAGGGGGCAGAGGGGAAAAGGAGAGACGGGCTTTTTTCAAACGACTCGGGCGCCATCTAGTGTCATCTGTGCCGTGTGGTGTGGGCGGCAGGCAGGGAGAGGGGATGGGGGGAAGGAGGGAAACGGGGAGAGGTTTGGAGGAGGAAATGGGGGGGAGGAGGGGGAGGTGGAGAGGCGGGGAGAGGATGGGGGGGGAGGACAGGGTGGGGGGAGGAGAGGGAGGAGTAGGAGAGTACAAGGTGCGGTGACAGGCAGGGATGAGGTGTGGGCACATGAGACAAAAGGAAGGAGGGGTGTGAATGGATGGATGGATGGTTGTCAAATGTCACCAGCAGCAGCAGCAGCAGCAGCATGCCATGTCATGTTAAAACATCGCTCCGAAGAACACACATACAGTCCCCCCCTCGCTCCAGTCTCTACTATCACTCCAATGCCTCTCTGGTTTCCCTACCCCTCCACACCACTCTCCACCGCTCCCAACCCATCTCCCTCCCTCCCTCCCCACCCCACGCACCTTAACAACGTTGTAGCTGAGCTCGTGCTGCACGAGCATCTCGCGGCGCGTCTCCCAGCAGGCGGGGCGGTGGTAGCTGAAGCCGTGGTGCAGCAGGTACTCCAGCTGCTCGCCCTCCATGTCCACGCGGTACGCCCCGTCGCCGTCCAGCCCCACCAGCACCACGCTCACTTCCATGGGCACTGATAGGGGCGACTGGGGGGGGAGGGGGGGGAGAGGGACAACGGTAGGGAGTGGGGGGAAGGGAGAGGGGAGAGGAAGGAGGAGGAATGGAGCTGCCGCGGTTTTAAATTCGTTTAGAGACATCTCGTCCCCGTCCAGCCCCACCAGCACCACGCTCACCTCCATGGGCACTGATAGGGGCGACTGGGGGACGAACATGGGGGGAAGTGTGGGGATGGTGGGGGGATGGTGAGGGATGTACGGGATGGGAGGAACAGGGGAGGGGATGGGAGGAACAGGGGAGGGGATGTGTGGAGGGGAGGGGGGAAAGTAGGGATGCGGTGTGAAGGTGGAGAGAGAAAGGACGCGTGGTTGGGCAGGCAGAGGCGGGAGAATTGGTGGGATAAGGAGAGGAATAAAAGTCGAAACACAGATGTTGCGCTTCCTGGTCCTCACTACCAGCAGCCTCGGACCTTACCCCTTCCCTTGAATTGAAACCCCTCCCCTCCCCTCTCCCTCCTCTCCCCGGTCCTCCACCCCCACCCCCTCCCATCCCAGGCCCCTCCCTCCCTCCCCGTTGCTTGTCCATGAGTTTCCGCCCCAATTTCTTCCTTCCTCTACCCCCTTTCTTCCCCCCCCCACACACACACCGTTCCTTCCATTTCTCCCCAAACCAAGCCCCGTTCCCTTTCCGGCCCCTCCCCGACGTGGTTCTCTCTCACGTCCGTGTTGCGAAACGGCAGCGTGTCAATTGCCCCAAAACAGAACTACAATCGGATACCGCCCCTCGACAGTCGCTCCCTCGCCCACCACACCCCCTCCCTCTCCCCCTCCCCTTCTCCCCCCGCGTCCCCAGCGCCCGCCCCTGGCACTCCCCCGCGTGGGCTCTCACGCCGGTGCTGTGGAAGAGCAGCGCCTCTACTCTATAGCTCGCGCCATCCGCCAGGCTGCCGCTACTTATCAGTCGCACCCTCACCCCCACCCCGCCGCTCCCATCCCATCCCTTACCCCCACACCCCGCCCCTGGCCTCCGCTTGGCCTCAATGCTCACGTCGGTGCTGTGGACGAGCAGCGCCACCCGCCACGCCAGGATACCGCCCCTCAGTCGCTTCGCTTCCCCCTACTGCACCCCTTCCCCCCCTGTCATCCCCGGATCCCATCCCAGTGCTCACATCGGTGCTGTGGAAGAGCAGCGTGTCGATGGAGCGCGCCACCAACGTGCGCACCTCGCTCCCTCATCCCACCCCGCACCACGCAACCCCCGCTTTCCCCCCGCCCGCCTCTGCTCATCACCCCCCCATTCGCGGGTGCTCACGTCGGTGCTGTGGAAGAGCAGCGTGTCGATGGAGCGCGCCACCACGGTGCGCACCTCCTCGAACGGCCCGTGGTGCCACGGCGACAGCATCCCGCGCGGCCGCTTGAACGCGCGCGCCGCGGACTCCGCCGCGCACTGCGGCGCGCGGCTCGGCGCCAGAACTAGGAGGGCTATAGCGAGGATGAGAAGCGGGCGGATGATACAAGCGGTGCGCGCAGGTGAGAGGGAGGACACGCGACGCGACGAGAAGAGCGAGGGAGGAGAGGGGAGAGACTGGGGAGAGTGTGGAGCGGGAGAGGGAGGAGAGGGAGAGAGGGGAACGAAAGAGGACGGAGGGATCGTAGGGTGTGATATATGGCAGCACTCGACTAGCGACTTCCGTCCAGTTAAATGTTCCGAGCTGGTTTTGGGCGGCCGAACGTCTGTCGAGCGGTGGTTTCGTGAAGCGTTGCCTGCTTGGTGCTGGAGCGGTGACATTGCGGCGGCAAAACCGCCATGGCCATCCATTGATTGACGCGTAGTCAATGCTCGGGAATCAGAAAGACGAATATGAATGCAATGGCAGTCGATTTTGAGCGCGATCCCGACCAGCGAAACCTGATCTGATCGGATCTGAAAATTGGTCTGTTTGAATTACGACTGGGCACGATCCGCAAGAAACCGAAAGCGACAGACGCGTTGTTTGTGAGAGAACTATTAGATCCTGCAATAATCGGGGAGGTATCTCCGATTCGTGGCTAAGAGTAAGGTTGGTAGCTACTAATTTGTGGCCATGAAATCTTTCAAAGACCCAACAGAAGGGAGACGCCAGCTTGAACTTCGCGGGGTTAGTGATGCGATCGTGGGGGCCTCGGCGATTTCGTTACGGTACGAGTGCGCGGAAAATGCAATATCGAATATATGATTACATTACGTCCATAAAAATTAAGACCTACTCAAATTTTGTAAGTAGCTTGTAAGCGGTTTGCGCAGTAAGAAATGGGATCTTCTTACACCTCACCAAGTTCCATAACGAGGACTAATCGATCGGCCACGCCGCCAAGGCCTCTTGCTCACAGCAAAAGGAATGGTTTTCTCTAGCGAGGCTATCTGAAAACAAGCACTAATTCTAACACAGTGTGAAGAATTTTCTCGTTATTCCTTGCCGCGGCCGTCAACATCGCGTACAGCAGCAGCCGTTGTTCGCCCGTTACTGCTAACAGGGATTCGCCAACTTCGCGCGCACTGTTTCACCAAACCTCGCAATGCTGGAGCAGCCGAGTCGGCCTACGCTACGGGACTAGCCCGAACCTCGCGCCAGCGTAGCACTAGCTAGCTTGCACGCACCGCGTTACAGTTTGCACATTTTCACGTATAAGTGTTCGCTCATGCCTTCGCTCATACTTTGTACTTTTGAACACTCTGGTGCAATCCTCACTACCTCGATTCATTGCACCCATAACACTTGGTTATCAGAGCCACTTTCTTTTCGGACCGCGCATCTCTACATCCCAGGAAATCAACTTTTGATTTTTCACTCGAAGGGACTCACGCACCTTAGCACCTAGGAGCTGCTGTCCTCGCGTTCTCTCGTAAACGCATGCAGCTGTCAGAATGCTATAATTGTCTAGCCTGCAGTGGGGTACTCTATAGCGAGTACAACCAAATTAGGGTTTCCTATATGTATGCCAACTGCTGCTAGTGCAACTCCTCTCTTCTTCATTCCTCATTCTTCACATGCTATCAGAGCATCTACGCTCCTGGCCTGTGGGCCCACCTAACTGCTTCCGCTGCTACTCTGTGTTCTGCACGCCCCGTGGCGTGCCCCTCGCGCGACCCTTAGCGGCCCCGTCGCCACCCCTCGCCGCCGCGTCGCCGCCCTTCTCGGCCCCTCGCGGCCCCTTCGCAGCCCCATTGCCGCCCTTCCAGGCCCCTCGCGGCCCCTTCGCGGCCCAGTCGCCGCCCCTAACGGCCCCGTCGCCGACCTCTCAGGCCCCTCGCGGCCCCTTCGCGGCCCCGTCGCCGCCCCTAGCGGCCCGTCGCCACCCTTCCGGACCCCTCGCGGTCCCTTCGCGGCCCCGTCGCCGCCCCTATCGGCCCCGTCGCCGCCTCCAGCGGCCCCGTCGCCGCCCCTTGCGGCCCCGTCGCCGCCCCTAACGGCCCCGTCGCCGCCCCTATCGGCCCCGTCGCCGCCTCCAGCGGCCCCTTCGCCGCCCCTTGCGGCCCCATCGCCGCCCCTAACGGCCCCGTCGCCGCCCCAATCGGCCCCGTCGCCGCCTCCAGCGGCCCCTTCGCTCCCCCTTGCGGCCCCGTCGCCGCCCCTAACAGCCCCGTCGCCGCCCCTATCGGCCCCGTCGCAGCCTCCAGCGGCCCCGTCGCCGCCCCTTGCGGCCCCGTCGCCGCCCCTTTTGGCCCTGCCTCGACCCTGCCCCGGCCCCGCCTCGGCCATGCTCCGCCGCCAGTCGCGGCGCACCGAGGGCACGTGCACCGCCCCCCCCTCTTTTCCCGTCGCCTGCCGAGGCGACCTGAGGGGCGACCTGGGGGGGGGGGGGGGCGAGCGTCGCCCCTTTTGCCGCCTGCTTTAGCACCCTAGGAGGCCGCGCGTCGCCCCCCCCCCCCCCCCCCTTCCCCCCCCCCTCCCCCCGTAACCTCCCTACCCGCCATCCCGCCCTGCCCTATGTTAGGGTTTGGGGGTGGCGAGTAGGGGGTGGCGGGTGTGTGGTCTCCCCTGATCCTCCTCCTCCTCTGTCTCCCACTGCTGCAGCTGCCGCAGAGAGGGGTGGGTGTGTGGGAGTCGACGGAGTGGTGCTACGGGGTGGGGTTTGAATGAACCTAGGGTGCAGCAGGGGGTGTGTGAAAGGGGGGTGCTGTGGGAGTAGAACTAGGGTTTGAGCAGGGGGTGTGTGTCGAGAGGTGTGGGGTAGCTGGAGGAGGTTCTATGAAGGTAACTGTCGTGTCGCCTGCAACGCCTATAGTCCGTCGTGAGAAACTGAACGAGAATGGAATAACTGAGGGAAAGTTAGGTACAAGTACAAACCCTAGAAAGCTGTACCCCATATGTGCTACCCAACTATAGCCTACAGTAGCTATGTCATATAAATCTGACACACCCCCATAGGCAAAGTGGGGGAGAACAAGGGGTCACAAGACCAGTCAAGCTAATCAAAGCAAGCTCAGGGTGGATCACAAAGTCACCACACATTCCGAGCACAAGTTCAAGGCCACAAGGCCAGTTCACATGCAGGATTACGTATATATATAACGTTAGACAAGCAAGAGCAGGTGTATATATATATGCAACAGTACAAACAAGGTCAAGAAGTGAGCAAGTGAGGCAAGGTAGGCACAAGACCCAGCAGAGTACAGAAGCGCTGATGATCACAAGGCCCAAGTGCCTTGGTGAAGATATCTGCAGTGTTGGCCTCAGAGGCCACGTACGCAAGGCGCAGCTGACCGCGCTGCTGTAGCTCACAAGCAAGGAAGTAGCGGAGAGCAATGTGCTTCGTTCTATGCTCCAGTCTCTGCTCTCTACAGAAGGCCAGCATGGCCTTGTTGTCTACGTACAGCACTGGAGGAGAACGAGGCGGCTCTCCGAGGTCAGTCAGCAGGTAGGTGAGCCAGCGAAGCTCCTGTGCAGCCATGGCCTCGGCGTAGATCTGAGCCTCACAACTGGAGCCGAGAACAGAAGACGAGCGGGTAGCCCGCCACGAAACAGAGCCGGAACAAAGGTCGAAGGTGTAACCTTGTGACAACCGCTACGTAGCCTGGTCGTCAGCCCAAGAAGCGTCCGCGTGCCCAGTGAGGACCACTGGACTCTGTCCTCCAAGCACAAACCCCATGCCCGACGTACTGCACAAGTAGCGCAACACCCTCTTCGCTGCAGCCATTTGCTCCGGTCTGTGTCTCCCAAAAGCAACATAGCGTG